ACCGCCGGCCGCGGCCGCCTTGCCAACCAGCAGCACAAGTGGTGCTTCTCGGAGCCAGGGAAGCTGGATCGCGTGGGTCGGGGCGGTGGGATGGTCGGGGAATGCTCGGGCGGGGCCTGCTCCAGCTTTGGCCTCGCTAGGCCCGAGACCCAGGAACTGCAGCATCAGGTGCTGGGAGAGTTCGAAGGTCACCAGATCAGATCGCTGAGAGGCACAGTGGACCCAGAACCCTGGTCCTTGAAGCTCGACAACGTCTACAGGCCTGCTCCAAGGAGTCAGAGCGCTTCAGGGGAAGTTTTGGGTCCCTGGGGAGGTGCAGGAGGAACCATGCCCATTGTCCAGGTATGGAAGAGAAGAGCTGCAGGCTTGGGGTGGGGTGAGGGGTCATCTGGGAGACTGAAAACGTGAGCCACATTTCATCCAACCTGTTTGCCTTTCCAGGCTGTTCCTCAAGGAGCAGAACTCCCCAGACCATTGTTTCAGACCAAGCATTCCAGGTGAGAGACGTGGATCACTCTTGGGAGGAGGCAGCTCTCATGGCTCTTGCCCAAGAAAAGACAAGGCCTCCTACCTGCCCTCATTCTGAGTCTTTGGACACTGTCTTTTGCAAACCAAATCTCCAACTGCCCCCCACCCCCGCAACATTTTACTGTTTCTATGGTGCAGAACTAAGAGCTTCTTTCCTGGTCACTGTGGTCAGTGTGGGGGTCTCTGCCTCCAGGTTCCAGACTCAGAAGGAAGCTGCAGTGGTGTATCCTGCGGAGGGTCCCCAGAGCAGTCCCATTGACTGTGAGCACAGGGTCCCAGAGACCTGCATTATGTCTGCCCGGCTCCCTTCCCTCCCTGATGATGATGTCTTCCTGGAAGAAGCCCCGCTGGTCAGAATGAGGTCATCTCCAGTCTCCCATACACCCCTGGTGCTCCCAGCCAGGTGAAATATGTTTCCAAGCAGAGTGAGACACCCCCTTTCCATATATGGCTATGAAATGCTGGAGAGGCAGGGAACCCTCTCCTAGCTGAAGCCTGGGAATCTGGGTGATAGGGTGGTGGCAGGTTGCCATTGGCAAGTGGTCTTCGGCCACAACTTTTTCTGATTCGTTATCTCTTCCACTTCCAGTGTCCAGAGGCCTGACCCAGCTACAGTCCCCCTAGAGCACCCCCTCCATGAGTGCCCAGAAACTGCAGGAGCAAAGGACTGCTGGCCCACATGCTGTAGCCCCCCTGGGACTGTAAATGGTGACATCCCAACCATTGACTCCACTGGACTTCTGATGACTGACTCCCCTGCAGCTGCAGGGAGTGACTCCCTCAAACCTCTCCCAGTTGATGCCTTGGGACCTCCAGGCAATGATACCCAAGGGCCTCCTGATGACACTGCCCTGGTTTGGGGCACTGTCCAGGCTGGTTCCAGGCCAACATGGCCTAGTCCGCGCCTGGAGGAGCTGGTTCAGGAGCTTGCCAGACTGGATCCCTCTCTGAGTGACACTCTCATGTCCTATCCCAGCCCAGAGCCACCTCTGGATCTGCTGGATGGGTTGATTCCTTTAGCTGAGGTCTGGGCTGCAATGAGACCAGCCTGTGCCAAGGCTGGAGAGGAGGCTGCTGGTATTTCTGAGCCAGGGTGAGTGAGGGGCACCAGGGACTCAGGGGATTCTAAGCTCCTGCAGTCTGGGGCAGGACAGCTCAGGGAGCTCTGGCTTTGTCCCCAGGTCCCATCTATCAAGCTCCACCCAGTTCCTGCCAACTTCTCAGGAAGAAACAAGGCCTGAAAACCTTACCGCTCACCCTGTGCCTGACCAGTCATGTGGCCAGGGTCTGCTTGAGCCAAAGAGAAGCATCCAAGCTAAGAAAGTGAGTGTTGTGGGGCTGATGGAAGGTGGATGGGACAAGAGACTAGAATTTGCCTTGAGACGTGAGGGGCCTGGCCCCGCCTTAAGTACCCACGCCTTCCCTGCAGGTGGAGCTAGCGGACCTCCTCCAGAGGATGCTGCGGGACCTTCAAGCTGAGCAGGAGCAGCTGGAGGGCGCCGCCCAGACCTGGGCCAGGCGCGGCGCGGCGCTGGAGGCCGCAGTTGGCCAGGCCTGTGCGCCCCGCGACCTAGAGCGGTTCAGCCGGTTCATGGCCGACCTGGAGCGCGTGCTTGGCCTCCTGCTGCTACTGGGCAGTCGCCTGGCTCGCGTGCGCCACGCCCTGTCCCGAACGGGGGCTGACGGCGACCCCGAGGAGCAGGTAAAAGCGTTCGGGCTGCCGGAGAGCAGGGCGGCGAAGCGCACTCGCCCGGCTCACGCTGCCCTTTCCTTTTGGCTCCAGGCCTCTCTGCTGCAGCGACTCGCGCTCCTGCAGCGGCAGGAGGAGGAC